AAGGATAACTCTGATATGAGGAGTCCCCCTTCCTTCTCCTAAACTGTCTTATAAAAGCATTCCAACTTGTAACAAACATTGGAACATGCCCAACTTTGTTGGTGTGTCTTACTGGGTAAATTCTCATATTTGGCTTCTAATAAACCTTTATCAATTTGTCTCTGCCCCAATGGCCTTAATTTCTGTCAAAAACCCTATCACTTTGCAACAATTTGCATGTTTATTCATTGCAATATCAACAATAAAGCTATTTCTCAAACTGGTATTGAGAAATTCTTAAACATGCTTTGTTACATAAGCAAAGCCATAATCATTACACACTTCATCATTGTAATCAATATCAAAAAACCCAAGGACCTATCTGATACCTGCTTTTTAGGGATTTTTAAACCTGAGACAGACATAGATATAAGTCACAGAGAAAAGGAGATGAAAACACTAGAGGAACCAGTGCACAAATGGGCCTGAAATTCAGCAATGACAAAGCACTCATCACTTGCAACACCTTTGAGAAAGATTCTCTTCTAGCCTCACCACGAGTGCATCACAGGTCAGGTTACCAGGTCAGCCATCCTCCCAGGGCTGACACTGAGGCAGCGATGTGTGGAGATCACATGCTATGAAGCAGAGCTGGAAAGCTGCTTGCTGATTTGACCTTTGATCATAATTCGTCTAGCAGCTCATACTGTACTGGTCTCCTGGTTATCCCTGTCCTGGATACCCTACTAAGATGGAGCCTCTTACAAAGTAGAGCCAGAGGGCGAACTGTAAACTCTCTTTCTCTTCTTCCCTTCCTCTTTCTCCCCCACACTATTCTTCAAATCACCAGATGAGACAAGTTTTGGAAGCCAGATGAGACAAGTGGAAGAAGATCATGGATTCCATCTTTCTACTGCAACCCCTGCTCTACTTCCCTAAGGAGCCTATGCAGCACCACAGCGTTATTTCCATTTCCAGCCACGAGGAACTTGCTGCCTCTTCCCATGCCCCTACCCTAAACAGCAAACCAAAATGGAAGCACATGTTTTTGTGTTTGTTTTAACCAATAATAATTACTTATTGTTCCCTTTTCTTAATTTTAAAAGCTAAAATGAACACACTTTCTCAAAGAAAAAAAAAATTTTGCTGCTAGTATGTAACTTCCATTGATTTTTCCCCCTATAAATCAACAGCCCTTACCGTTAACTCACAGCAGGCACTATTGACATTAAAAAAAAAAAATTAGAGGCAGGGTCTCACTATGTTGCCCAGGCTGGTCTTGAAATCCTGGGCTCAAGGTGATCCTCCCACCTTGGTCTCCCAAAGGGAGACCAGAGATTACAAGCATGAGCCACCACACCAGCCTATTGACATTTTGAGCCTGATAATTCTTTCCTATGAGGGGCTGTTCTGTGCAAAGGAGGATGTTTAGCAGCATCCCTGGCCTCTCTACCCACTAAGATGCCTGGAGCACTACTGTCCCCTTGTGACAACTAAAAATGTCTCCAGGCATTGCCAACTGTCCACTATGGGGCAAAATCACTCCCATTTGGGAACCACTGCCCTCCAGAATGTAGGCCTACAGGATAACCCTGGTGTGTGTCGTATTTAAAAGGATTAAAGCACAGTAAGGTTTTACTTAGTATCTGATGCCTTTGACTCAGCTATAGCCAAGGTAGCCTGCTTGCTGTCCACAGCAAGTTATTAATAGCCTCTCAGGGCCTGGGATGCTGGCCATCTACTAATCCCTTTGTCCTTCAAAACTTTACCTTCTCCCAGCTTAATTCTATTTACCTCGAATCAATCCATTAGTCTACAACGGCTGGGATCTATGTACACATATACTTCAAAAACACACCTCTATTGAGTGGCTTTCTGAGGTGATAGAAATGTTCTCTCTCCCAAAAGGAGTTTGGGTTACATGAGTCTAGCCTTTGTCAAAACAGCAAATATATACATATATACATATATATAGTGGACAGCTGGCAATGCCTGGAGACTTGTGGGGCTGGGCATGGGTGGCTCATGCCTGTAATCCCAGCACTTTGGGAGGCCAAGGTGCGCAGATCACAAGGTCAGGAATTTAAGACCAGCCTGACCAACATGGTGAAACTCCACCTCTATTAAAAATACAAAAAATTAGTGGGCATGGTGGTGGGTGCCTGTAATCCCAGCTACTCAGGAGGCTGAGGCAGGAGAATCACTTGAACCCAGGAGGCTGAGGTTGCAGTGAGCCAAGATTCTGCCACTGCATGCCAGCCTGGGCGACAGAACGAGACTCCATCTCAAAAAAAAATAAAATAAAATAAAGACTTGTGATTTAACTGCATATAAATTTTACACCCAAAAGAAAAAAAACTGTAAATGAATATTGAACTCTAGTTAATGAATTATATATATATTTTATGTATATATATAAATAATATATATAAATATATAAATATAATTTATATATATATAAAAATATATTTATATATTATTTATATATATATACACATACATGCTGAAGTTTTTAGAGGGGAAGGGTACTGATGTCTGTAATTTACCTTGAAGTACATTAATAAAATAAAATGGATTGATAGAAGGAAGTAAAACCAGCATTTTACTATATAAATGATAAAACCAGTATCATAAAATGTTAATGTCGAATCTAGGTGATGGATATATGAATGTTTACTGTAAATTTTTGTTTTTATTTTTTGAGACAGAGTCTCTGTGTCAACCAGGCTGGTGTGCAGTGGCATGATCTTAGCTCACTGCAACCTCCACCTCCCAGGCTTAAGCAATTCTCCTGCCTCAGCCTTCTGACCAGCTGGGCCCACAGGCATGCACCACCACACCAGGCTAATTTTTGTATTTTCAGTAGACATGGGGTTTCACCACATTAACCAGGCTGGTCTTGAATTCCTGGCCTCACGTGACACACTGGCCTTGGCCTCCCAAAATGCTGGGATTACAAATGTGAGCCACTGTGCTCAGGCTGTAAAATTCTTTAAACTATTATAAATGTTTGAACAATGTTCAGATTAAAATATAATGGAAGTACACATGCAGACACACACAAACACATGTGTGAACACACTTTCTGTCATGGAAAATCAAGAAGCATATCTGTGGTATTTCAGTCAGGGTGGTGGCAAAAATATTAAAGAAAAAATATTAGGGATAGTTATAGGAAATAGTCCCAAAACCCTCTGGAAAGACCAGGCAGTTTACACAGCTTCAGATGCCAGAATGGGCCAAAGGCAGCTAGTTCTTCTATCCTGAGGCTTGAAGCATAGGGCAGTTAGCAGGAGAATGCAAAGGAGTTTATCTGAATAACTTGTTTACTTGTTTACTCATTACTAACCTTTACTGTTTCATGAACCAGATGGCTTTCTGGTGGGGGGATCAGATTTATCACCTGCAAATGGTGTTTGTCTTAGGCCTCAGAACCTAGCCTTTAATCTTTACCCTCTAGTTGTATTGACTCAAAGCCTTTATCATTTAATGCGTGCTGAATAAAGATGGGGAAGGCCAGCGTGTTGGGGCTGGTAGCCGTTAACTCCTTCAGGTGAGTGGCCACGGACACCCCTAGACCACTCGTTCACTGTATTCTGTGTCTAAGTGAATGTACTCACCTGTCATGTAGCTGGGGTCTGCCCTGGCACATCATTTCAAAATGAATATTTGTCATAAATTGCCATATTCATTGTTAAAAAACTTTCTAACATCGATGGAATTTTTTTTCAGCTGAAGAAATTTTTTTTTTTTTCTTAATAGAGATGGGGTTTCACCATGTTGGTCAGGCTGGTCTCGAACTCTCGACCTCAGGTGATCCATCCTCCTCATCCTCCCAAAGTGCTGGGATTACAGGCATGAGCCACCATGCCCAGCCAAAGAAATCTTTTATTGTGTTTAAGGTCCAACTTAAATATGTCTCCCCTCAGCAGCTTTCACCTATCCTAATAAATCATCCACTTCCCTTGCTCCCATACACTATTATTTGCATTTTCTGTACAGCAGTCACAATTGCTTGACTTAAGGCTTAGACAACTTCTTATTTCTCCAGCTCATGGCAGAAACAAGGTCTGCATTTGTGTTCCCCCAGCACATAGAACCAAGGTTTGCATGAAGCAGACATGCAATAAATAGTGGTGAATATGGTTGCGTTTACAGTAATCTCTCCCTGGTTATGAGATTCTATGATATCCTAATTTAACTATTTGCAACTTTGTGAGTATTGCAAGATTTGTATTCCAATGGAAGTGAATTGTGAGTCACTCCTTTAGAAGATACTTAGAACAAACTTGGCATTGGGGACTGAAATGGGATGTAAAATAGAAAAGAAGCTAAGGGATTTTTGCAACTAACTGTTGGGGATTTTTTTTTTTAAATAAAAGAGGGCCAATAAACCCAGGCCTTACTCGCACTGTGGTGAGATGCTCAGGATGGAAGGGGAAAAACTGTGCAAAATTTCTACCAACTCAAGGGCTTATAGCAATCGGTGAAGTTGTAGGCAATCAATATCAAGACAAGGACAGATAAAGAAAACAAATGCCTCTTAGACAAAATGTTTTACTATTATCTCTTTGGAGTAAACTAAATAATATAGAGAATTATTTAAAGAATACTCACCATGACTTACTGTCCAGATAATGAAATAAAACATCATCTGAAGTAGATCTGGATGTTGTAGAGCCTGAAGTCTATTCAATTGTGGGGCTCTTTTTTTTTAACAGCTATTATGCTATTGAGGAACTTGTCTTTCTGGGTCTGTGAGGGGTGTGGTTTCAAAGGCAGGAGTTTTCTGGCTCCACATCTCTATCCGGGGATCAGAGGGGTTTCAAATGTAAAGTTCTTTGTCTGGGTTTCCCACAGGTGGGATAGGTACAAAAGCCAGGTGGGACTCCTTTGTTCCAAAAATCCCACCAAAAGCTCTGGGAGAAGAGGGCTCTGTTACTCAGGGCTGTGGACCAAGTAGCCAATCCAGTATCAGAGTCAAAGATCAATCACTCCAGAGGAAGTTTGAAAGAACTCCTCTCATTGGATGAGAAATGAATGGGGAGGGAATAACTCGAAGGTTAAAATTCAGCTGCTTCTTACCTGAACAGATTGCCTTCTTCAGGTTCCCCTCCCACAAAAATGTGGAAGCTTTTTTTCTCTCTTTCTCTCTGTCTAATAAATCACTCTTGCGCAAAACTCTTTGGGTCCATGATATTTATCGGAACGAAAAGCTCACCATGCCTCCAGGGCCGCTTTCTCCATTCTTCCGGGTAAGAAAGGCCAAGAACCTCTTCGGAACCAGGCGCTGGGGACACTCCCCCAGTTACATCTTAGAGCGGTGAGTGATATTGGACCCCTTTCGCTTGCTAATCTGTCCTTTACCTTCTTTTAAATTTGTTAAGGAGGTAAAAACCGGGTGCCTGCTGGCCATCTAAGAGCGGCAGCAGCTGGGCCCAGGTGACGGGAGTGGCAGTCGCCCATGCAAGCCATGCCCAGCCTTTCAGGCCCCAACCTCCTGGGTCCAGATTTCTGTGAGGCAAGCTTCTTCCTGGCTCTTTCCTCTAAGATATTTCCTACACATGAGGCTATTACCCTTCTTGCTAGGACTTTGAGTCTCCTGGGGTGGCAGTCCAGGGACCCTTGCCCTTGGTGCCCTCAGGCTTATGCCTATGGGGACCTCCTACAGGATAAATACACACGGCCAGTTCCCTTAGTCCGCAGTGCTAGGTTATGTTCTAATGGAGCCAGAGTCTATCAGAGGGTACTGGAAGCTATAGGACATTGGGTTTTTTTTTTGTCACCCACAATTTCCCAATTCAACTGAGTGGTGCCAAAATCTGATGTGTACAATTTGTCTTGCCTAGGATTGGCTGTCCGTACGGCAGAACTTCTCCATCTAGAATACCATAGTCAGACCTGGTCCGAGGCTCAAGTAGCTAATTACAGGCCCCACAATCTTAGGGCATATTCCTATAATGAAAAGTGGGGTGAGGGAGAAGGCTGGGTCTCAAGGGCATTGTTCTGGCTCAGCCATGTAGCCAGCCATTACCTTCTTTAAGATTGTTGTGCTTAGAGGCCTTTCTCAAGAAGTTTATCCTCCTAGGGAAGTTTTTTGGTCAGGCCTATCTTAATTGAACTCTTGCTAGGAAATATTGGCACCCATTGCCCAAGCCTCACTGGCTTAGTTCTTCAAGTACCCCCTGTGGGAGTACAAGGCCACTAAGCCCAGCAGTCCCCATGTCCTTATGGTGGCCAAACAGGACATTAGACAGTGAGGGTGTGCCCATGACGCCAGTAAGTGTGGTTAAACCTGGCACATGGGGGTCCCAGAAGATGATCATGCATCTAGGGTGCAAGGAAACAGCAAGGTGCGATAACTGGGGGATGCCCCAGCGCTAGCAGTTGCAAGGAATAACCAGGGATGTGGGCATCCCTGTGTTCAATTTCAGAAGGGTGCTACTCTTCCCAAGGCAAAATAACCCTTACAGTGTATCCTGGATAACTTGGACCAATTTGACCCACAATCTTTAAAGAAGCAGCAGCTCATTTTTTTCTGCCAAACAGTGTGGCTGCAATACCCTCTGCTGAGTGGAGACACCTGGCCTCCTGAGGGAAGTATAAATCATAACACCCTTCTACAATTAGACCTGTTCTGTGAGAGAGAAGCTAAATGGATTGAGGTCCCCTATGTGCAAGTTTTCTTTTCTCTACGGGATAATCCTCAGCTATGTGAGGCTTGTAACCTATGCCCTACTGGCCCCTCCTCAGGACTACCCCTGCATTTAGGACTCCCTGTGGCTCCTCCCTCCATTGATGCCGACCAGGTCTCTTCAGCTCCTATAACCCAAGGGAAGGCCAAAACGGCCAAGGCACCTCAGGCTACTAGGATGCCCCAACTCTGTCCCCTATAGGCAGTAGGAGGAGAATTTGGCCCAACCAAAGTACATACTCCCTTTTCACTTTCTGACTTAAAGCAAATCAAGGTGGACTTAGGAAAATTTTCAGATGACTGGGACAAGTACACAGATGTTTTGCAGGGCCTGGGTCAGTCCTTTAAATTGGATTGGAAAGATATCATGTTATTGCTCAGTCAGACCTTAACCAGCAGTGAGAGAGAGGCTGCTCTAGCAGCAGCTCAAGAGTTTGGTGACACCTGGTACTGTAGTCAAGTACATGACCAAATGACGTCAGAGGAGAAGGATAGATTCCCTACAGGTAGACAGGCAGTCCCTAGCATGAACCCTCTCTGGGATCCTGACTCAGTACATGGGGACTAGAGCCATAGACACCTATTGACCTGAATACTTGAGGGATTAAGGCAAACTAGGAAAAAGCCCATGAACTAGGCAATGTTATCCACCATAACTCAGGGAAAGGAAGAAAACCCAACAGCCTTCCTTGAGGGGTTACAGGAGGCCTAAAGAAAGTATACTCTCCTGTCACCAGACTCCATCAAGGGTCAGCTAATACTAAAAGATGAATGTATTATGTAATCAGCAGTGGACATTAGGAGGAAGCTCCAGAAGCTAGCCCTGGGGCCAAAACAGAGTCTAGAATCATTACTAAATCTAGTAACCTCAGTGTTCTATAATAGAGACCAGGAGGAGCAGGCCGAAAGGGACAGGAGGGACAAGAGAAAGGCCACAGCCCTAGTCATGGCCTTCAAGGGGATCGAAAGAGGAAAAGGCTTAGGTTAGCCACCAGTCTGGCAGAGCTTGCTATCACTGCAGCCTACTGGGACACTTTAAAAAAGATTGTCCCCAGAGGAATAGATTGCCTCCTCCTCCTTGCCCACTGAGCCAAGGGGACCACTGGAAGGCACACTGTCCCAGCGGATGAAGGTTCCCAGGGCCTGAGGTGGCTAACCAGGCGACCCAACAGCAGGACTGAGGGTGCCCCAGGCAAGTGGCACGGCCATCTTAGTTTTGCTTTCCTGTCCTGGACAGTTGTCCTCCAAGTCTGAAACTGTCTGAGGAGGCCTAGGACAAGCAGCCTCCCAATATTTCTCCCCAGCCCCTAAGCTATCTGGGGAGATATGCTCTTCTCTCATGACTTCCTCATCATGACAGAAAGTCCCACTTCCTTGCTAGGGCGGGACCGGTTAGCCAGAGCAGGAACCATCATCTATATGAACATTGTCAAGGAGGAAATCCCTCTGTGCTGCCCATTATTTAAAGAAGGAATTAATACCAATGTGTGGGCAATGGAGGGACAATTTGAGTGGGCAAAGAATGCCTGCCCAATTCAAATAAGGCTAAAGAATCCCACCTCTTTTCCTTACCAAAGACAGTACCCCCTAAGACCAGAAGCCAAAAAGGGGCTACAAGATATTGTAAGGAACTTAAAATCTCAGGGTTTAGTGAGGTCCTGTGACAGCCCTTGTAATACTCCAATTTTAGGAGTACAAAAACCTAATGGACAAATGAGGCTAGTATAAGATCTGAGGCCTTATTAATGAAGCTGTGATCCCTTTATACCCAGCTGAACCCAAGCCATACACCTTGTTCTCTCAAATACTGGGAGAGGCACATCCTTATGGTCCGGGTTTACAGTTCCAGATCTTAAGGATGCCTTTTTCTGTGTTCCATTACATCCTGACTTCCAGTTTCTGTTTGCCTTTGAAGACCCTTTAGACCAGAATTCTCAGCTCACTTAGACAGTGTTATCCTAGGGCTTTCAAGATAGCTGCCACCTGTTTGGCCAGGCTCTAGCCCAGGACCTTAGTCATTTTTCACATCCAGGTACCCTGGTTCTTCGATGTATGGATGACTTACTTTTAACTGCTAACTCAGAAACCCAGTGTCAACAGGCCACTCAGGACCTTCTAAACTTTCTAGCCTCTTGTGGATATAAAGTTTCCAAATCCAAAGCCCAACTTTGTAGACAGCAGGTAAAATACCTGGGACTTGTCTTGTCTAAGGTCACTCAGGCCCTTGATGGAGAGTGTCTCCATCCATACTGGCCTTCCCCCATCCAAAAACCTTAAAACATTTACAGAAAATCTTAAGAATAACTGGCTTCTGCTGATTGTAGATTCTCAGATATGGTGAAATAACCAAACCCCTATACACTCTGATTAAGGAAACCCAAAAGGCTAACACCCATCTAATGCAATGGGACCCTACACCTGAGGCAGCCTTTCAGACCCTGAAGCAGGCACTACTGCAGGCTCCAGCTCTGGGCCTTCCTGCAGGGAACAACTTCTCCCTATATGTTACGGAAAAGTCAGGAGTGGCACCGGGGGGTTCTCACCCAGACTCAGTGGACCACACCACAACCAGTGGCATAGCTAAGTGAGGAAATTGATGTAGTAGCAAAAGCCTGGCCACACTGCTTGCGGGTCATAGCCACAGTGGCTATATTGGTCTCAGAAGCTGTTAAAATAGGTTAAGGGAAAGATCTAACTGTATGGACTTCACATGATATAACTGGAATTCTGGCCTCTAAAGGAGGCTTATGGCTATCTGACAACTGCTTACTCAAATATCAGGCCTTAATGCTTGAAGGGCCTGTACTTCAGCTGCGCACATGTGCAGCCCTCAATCCGGCTACTTTCTTCCTGAGGAAGGGGCAGACAAAGAACATCAGCAGGTTATAGCCCAGAACTATGCAGCTCGAGAGGATCTCTTAGCAACTCCTCTAGCCAATCCTGACCTTAACCTATACACTGATGGAAGTTCATTTATGGAAAATGGAGTTTGGAAGAAAGGATATGCAGTAGTCAGTGATCAAACAGTGCTTGAAAGTTATTCCCTTTCTCCTGGAACTAATGCCCAACTGGCAGAACTAGCAGCCCTCACTCAAGCTCTAAAATTGGGAACAGGAAAGAGAATAAACATATACACAGATTCCAAATATGCTTACGTGGTTCTGCATGCTCATGCTGCCATACAGAAGGAAAGAGAGTTCCTAACCTCGGCAGGAACTCCCATTACATATCATAAGGAAATTTTAGACTTATTACAAACTGTCCAAGAACCCAAAGAGGTAGCGGTCTCACACTGCCGAGGTCACCAGAAAGGAGATGAGAAGGAAGCAGAGGGCAATTGCCGAGCTGACCTAGAGGCAAAAAGGGCAGCCAGACAAGAATTTATAGAAGGATTTTTAATATGGGAAAACCCTCTCCAGGGAACTAGACTTCAATACTCATCAGAAGAGGTAGAGTGGACAGCCTCCCAGGGACATAATCTTCTTCCTTCAGGATGGCTAGCTACTGAGGAGGGAAAAGTGCTCCTACCTGCTGCCAGCCAGTGGAATGTACTTAAAACCCTACATCAAACCTTCCACATGAGTATAGAGAATACATATTGAATGGCCAAATCTATGTTTACAGAAAAAGGCCTCTTCAAGGCTGTCCAACAAATAGTCAATGGATGTGAAATATGCCAGAAAAAGAATCCTTTGGCACACTGCAAAGCTCCTCCTGGGAAACAGCAAACTGGCCATTACCCACATGAGGACTGGCAAATGGACTTCACCCATATGTCTAAGTCTCAGGGATATCAATATCTGTTAGTATGTATAGACACCTATGCAGACTGGGTTGAGGCCTTCCCCTGTATAACAGAAAAAGCCCAAGAGGTAATAAAAGTCCTGATTAATGCCATAATCCCTAGATTCAGACTCCCTCACTGTCTTCAAAGTGATAACGGCCTTGCCTTCAAAGCTGCAGTGACCCAAGGAATTTCCAAAGCATTAGAAATACAATATCATCTCAACTGTACTTGGAGGCCTCAGTCCTCAGGGAAAGTGGAAAAAAATGAATGAATTCTTAAGAGACACTTAAAGAAACTGGCACAGGAAACCCACCTCCGTGGCCTTCTCTATTTCTAATAGCACTTTTAAGGGCTTGAAACTCTCCTCAGAAAATCGGACTCAGCCCCTATGAGATGCTTTATGGATAACCCTTTCTTACTAATGATCTAGTATTAGACAAGGAAGCAGCACATCTAATAAAAGATAGAACCTCCTTGGCTAAGTACCAACAGACTCTTAGGACCTTACCTGAAGGACACCCTAGGGAAAAAGGGAAAGAGTTGTTCTGCCCTGGAGACTTAGTGCTTAAGTCTCTCCCCTCAGACTCTCCCTCTCTAGGCCCTTCATGGGAAGGACCATTTTCAGTTATTCTGTCTACCCCAACGGCAGTTAAGGTGGTGGGGACTGACTCATGGATTCATCACACTCAGCTGAATCCTTGGTCACCTCCTGAAGAAAATCATAGACCCTCCACTCCACGGCCTGAAGTTCCAGGAGACGACCCTTTGTACACCTGCGAGCCGTTAGAGGATCTATGTTTGCTTTTCCAGTGAAATCCCCAGGAAAGTGTCTACTCATGAGTCTAACTTACATCCTGCATTTACAGGACTATCAATTTTGACTTTACTATTTGCAACCAGTCTCTATTTGGTTGCCCCTGCAGATTGGCCTACATCTTATAAACTCTCCCTCAAATCATACGGGGCTTATAGGTCCCTCGGTCACCAATCTACAAATTCCATCTACCTCAAAATTCACTTGTGTGAATTCTACTAACAACACCAGTGCTTCCCTATGCCAAAACTGGGTTGACTTACCACCAGGCCTCAACTGCCTAGCACCAGGCTTATTCTTTGTTTGTGGCACTCAGCTTACTGCTCCCTGAACAATACTCCTGAGGAAATTTGCCTCCTTTCCTTCCTAGTGACCCTCCCACGATGATTTACACCAACTCTTAGGTGCGGTGAATTCTTTTGCCAAGGCCACGCCATACACAAACCCCAATTATTCCTTTCATAGTGGGGGCCAAAATAATAGGAGGACTTGGTACTGGCATTGGAGGAATTACTACCTCTACTCAGTTTTACTATAAGCTATCTCAGGAGTTAAATGATGACATGGAAAAGGTTGCTAATTCTCTCATAACTCTGCAGAAGCAGCTTGACTCTTTCCCTGCTGTGACTCTTAAAAATAAAAGGGTCCTGGATCTGCTAACAACAGAGAGAGAGGAACCTGTCTCTTTTTGGAAGAAGGATGTTGCTACTTTGTAAACCAGTCAGGTATTGTCTTAAACAAAGTTAAGGAACTCGGGGACCAATTGAACACAGGGCTAAAGACCTTCAAGAAACAGGATTGTGGAGCTTGTTTAACAACTGGGCGTCCTGGCTCTACGCTCTTTTAAGCCCGTTTATAACCATTCTATTATTGCTGGCCTTTGGGCCTCTCATTTTTAACCTTCTTGTCAAATTCATTTCTTCTAGAATTGAGGCCATGAGGCTAGAAATGGTCCTGCAAATGAAACTCTGATGTCCTTGGCTCGTGAGTTCTATCATAGACCTCTGGATCAACCTGCATCCCTGGAAGACTCCCCTCTGGAGGAAACCTCAACTGCAGGGCCCTTTCTATACCCAGTTCAGCAGGAAGTAATTAAAGAGCAATGGACACCCATGTCCCAACAGCATTGGACTTTTCTGTTCAGAGGGGGGACTGAGGGACTTCTCTTCCTGGGTCCGCAAGGGGCATGGTTTCAAAGTCAGGAGTTTCCTGGTTCCATGCCTCTATCCAGGAACCAGAGGGGTTTCAAATGTAAAGTTCTTTGTCTGGGTTTCCCATGTTGGCTAGGTAGGGAAAGCCAGGTGGGGCTCCTTTGTTCCAAAAGTCCTGCAGAAAGCTCTGGGAGGAGGGGGCTCTGTAACTCAGGGCTGTGGACCAAATAGCCAATTAGAGTCAGAGACCAATCACTCCAGAGGAAATTCGAAAGAACTCCTCTCATTGGACAAGAACATGAATGGGGAGGGAATCATTTAAGGGTTAAAATTCAGCTGCTTCTTACCTGAACGTATTGCCCTCCCACAACAGCATGGGAGTGTGCGCTCGTTCTCTCTCTCTCTCTCTCTCTCTCTCTCTCTCTCTCTCTCTCTCTCTCCCTCTCTCTCTCTCTCTCTCTCTCTCTCTCTCTCCCCCTTCCTCCCTCCCTCCCTCCTCTTGCTCACCATGTCTCCGGGGCCCCTTTCCTCATTCTTCAGGGTAAGAGAGGCCAAGACCCTCTTTGCAACTTGGAGCTGGGGATGCTCCCCCAGTTACACTATGAATTCATAGGGAATAGGTTCCAGCAACTTAGACTTCTTTCTATGGGTTCTCACAAAGTGTACTTCTCTGAGTGGGGAAGGTTGACACTGCAGGTACTTTTCTCTTTTGCTTTCTTCTTTTTCTGATCCTTTTCCCTTACATGTTTCAGGAAGCTATCTTGGCTCTTAGACTGCTTAATTTGCTCAGTATACACATTAATTCTCTCAGCAAGAATCTTGCCTTTAACTTGTTTTGAGGAAGGAGACCCTTAATCACCTTCAGCCTTCCACACTGCATCTCAAAAGGAAAAGATAGAAGTTAGCCAGAGGAGGGACTAGTTGGTGCCGCCAGCCTGGTTAAGGATAAGACCCCAACTGCTAACCACAATCCCATCTATAGATCATGGATATGACATGGAGGAGTCTTTCCAAAGGCATTGTTTTTACTTAAACAGGATCAAACCCGCACCTAAGTCACGTACCCCATGCCTACTTCATATATCAAGACCCTTTCACATGTAATTTCTAGAGTTGTAGGTCCAAGACCTTTTCACATGTAACTTCTAGAGCTGTAAGCCTATAAAAGGGCAGGGACTTTCTTTGTTAGGTGAGCTCGACTGTTAGGCAACTATACCACCATTGCTCCCGGCTAAATAAATCCCTTCCTTCCCCAGTTTGGTGTTCAAGAGGTTTGTCTTGGGGCTTTTCCTGCTTTATTTGGTTCCCTGACTGGGAAGTGAGCTGCAGTTGGTGGCCGGCCAGCACAACCTTTCAGGTGGTTTTGGCTTGCCCTGCAGAGCATCCCTGCAGGGGACTCCTGCCTGCTTGGCTGATAATTGCTGAGAGCACTCCCAGGCAGGTATTGGCCCTGGTGGAAAGCTTCACAGTGTGGATCCACCCAGTGGCTGAACACCAAAAAGGAACAGGTACTTGGAGTGTCCAGATAAATAGAAACACAGTAGGATCAATCCTGGGAAATTTGCCCACCTCCTTTAGGTGGAAGCATGGCCTGAACACCCATGTGTACTGGATTTGGACTCTTGAACTTGGCTCGTTCTCTCTCTCTCTCTCTTTCTCTCTCTTTCTCTCTCTCTCTCTCTCTCTCTCTCTCTCTCTGAAACTAACCTTGGAAGTTTTGCTTTTGGTTTTGATTTGGGTAGAGGGAGGAGTACGATTGGACTCGTCAGCCATGAAATGTGGGGGCCACAGGTTTGTTAGAGGAGATCCCAAGCTCTGAGCAAATTGTGGGGCCAGCTGTGATTATAGGCGATCCACATACGGCTGGATGGAGGTCCCCTCAAAATCTAGGCATTGTGAGGGGATTAACGAACACTTCAATGCCAAGTGGCATCTAAAACCCTCCCCAAGAGGGAGACAATCCTACCGGCCTGAAGTAAAAGTGAGAGTGGGTGTGTTGCACCATGCTGGGCAGGAACAACTGAGGGTGGAGTAAAACTCTCTTAACTGTCTGTGAGGATGTTTTTCTGTGCAAAACATGGGTCATACTCATAGCAAACCTAGCCCTCTAGGGACTATGCTGAAAATTTTCAAGAAGTGATTTAGTGGGGATTATGGAGTAACTATGACACCAGGGAAGCTAAGGATCTTATGTGAAGTAAACTGGCCAGCATTTGGGGTGGAATGGCCCTCAGAGGGGAGCCTAAACAGGCCTTTTGTCTCCAAAGTATGGCATGAGTATACATGCGGCAGGCCAGGACACCCTGATCAATTCCCATACATAGATTCATTCCTGCAGCTCATTCTAAACCTTCCACAGTGGCTGGGAGGACAGGCAGCAACCATATTAATGGCAAAGGGACAGACAGCTAGGGGAAAACCCTGCTCCACCCACCAAGAGACATCGACTGCTAAGGTCCTGGCAGATCCAGCAGCAGGAACACTGATTCCTAAGGTCCTGGCAGATCCAGCAGCCAAAGAGCTTTTACCAGTAATACCCCCTCCTCCTGGTCTGGAGGAAGGACTCCTTGCCCCTGGGCCGGAAACCTCAACACCCCTGCCAGAATTGCACACCCCTAAACCACCAAGAGTAGATAAGAGAGAATGCAGAGAGACTCCTCCCAAGGCCACCCACTTCCTGGGAGGAACTCCAACCCTGCCTCTAGCAGCCCGTCTGCAACCCAAGGCAGGGCTGCAGATGCCTTTAAGAGAGCAGAGGTATAGGAAAGTGGATGAGGTTGGCCACATGGTGGAAAGGCGTGTTTTCACATAGCTGCCATTCCCCTTAGCTGGAAAAATAATAACCCATCTGATACTGAGAAGCCACAAGCTCTCATTGACCTACTGCAAACTATTATTCAGACTCATAACCCTACTTGGGCTGATTGCCACCAGCAGCTTATGTATCTTTTTAACACGGACAAAAGGCAGAGAGTACTCCAAGCTGCCTCCAAATGGTTAGAGGAGTATGTTCCTGCAGATTACCAGAACCCCCAAGAGTAAGTCAGGGTCCAGTTACGGGGGATTGAGCCCCAGTGGGATCCAAACACCCTGGAGGGCATGCAGAGGTTAATCCCGTACAGAGAGGCCTTACTGGAAGGATTAAAAAAGGGAGCCCAGAAGGCTACAAACATCAATAAATTTTCTGAGGTCATTCAAGGGAAAGAGGAATCCCAGCACAGTTCTCTGAGAGGCTATGTGAAGTTTATTGCATGTCTACTCCTTTCAATCCTGAGAGCCCTGAAAACCAACGCAGGGTGAGATGACATTAGTCAGTCAGTGTACAGAAGACTTTAGGAGAAAATTGCAGAAACAGGCAGGATTTGCAGGCATGAATATTTCACAGTTACTGGAAGTAGCTAACCAGGTGTTTGTGAACAGAGTAAGCCATAGGGAAAGTCATAGAGAAAATGAGCCTCAGGCTCGAAACACCAACTTTATAGCTGCTGCTATTAAAGGAGTGCCCCCAAAAGGGTGGGGAAAAAGGGGCTCCTGGAAAGCCACCCAGTCTAATCACCCACACCTGCAGTGTGACCAGTGTGCTTGCTGTAAGGAAGTTGGACACTGGAAGGACAAGTGCCCCCAGTTGACAGGAAAACAAGGCGATCTTAAGCACGAGGCTTCAGATGAAAGTGATCTGTTCAATCTAACGAAAGGGCCACTGGACTGAAGGGGGCCAGGCTCAACTGCCCCCAAAGAGTCCATGGTCCAGATGAAGTCCTATAACCCCCCATCAAAGGAAACAACCAATATTGTTGGAGCTACTGGGGTGCCAGAGAAACAGTTTTTTTTGTTTGCCTTGTACTGGGCAGAGGACAATCTGCCAGGACTAACAATCAACCAGGCCCATGTGCTCATTAAAGTCAAGCCTGGGGTTCAGCCAGTTAGGCAAAAGGAATATCCAATTCCCCGAGAGGCCCTAAAATGCATTCAGGTCCACTTAAAACACTTAAAGGACTATGGAATTATGGTTCCTCACCAGTCTCCATGGGGCACCCCTGCTCTTGCCTGTTCCTAAACCAGGGACTGAAGACTATAGGCCAGTGCAGGACTAGTGTTTGGTTAATCAGGCTACAGTGACTTTGCACCCACTTGCACCCAACCTGTACATGCTGTTGGGATTATTGCCAGCAGAGGATAGTTGGTTCACCTGCTTGGACTTAAAGGATGCTTTCTTTAGCATTAGACTAGTCTCGGAGGGTCAGAAACTATTTGCATGTCAATGGGAGAATCCAGAAACAGCTGTGACCACCCAGTACACCTGGACCTGGCTTCCCCAGGGGTTTAAAAACTCTCCCACCATCTTTGGGGAGGCACTAGCCTGTTACCTCCAGAAGTTTCTTGCTAAGGACTTAAGCTGCATGCTGCTCCAATATGCTGGTGACCTTTTGTTGGGACACCCCACAGCAGTTGGGTGCACTAAAGGAACACATGCCTTACTTCGGCACCTGGAGGACTGTGGGTATAAAGCATCTAAAAAGAAAGCCCAGATTTGCCACCAGCAAGTGCAATATCTGGGGTTCACCATCTGGCAGGGAGAGTGCAGCCTAGGAGCAGAGAGGAAACAAGTCATTTGCAACATGCCAGGACCCAAAACTAGAAGGCAGGTAAGAGAGAGTTCCTGGGAGCCATGGGTTTCTGTAGATTGTGGATTCCAAATTTTGCTGGCCAAACCCCTATACAAAGTGACAAAGTTTGGGGGTGGGGGACAAGGAACCATTTGAATGGGGATCCCAGCAGTGGCAGGCCTATCAGGAACTGAAAGCAAAACTTTGTCAGCCCCGGCTTTGAGGTTACCTGGTTTAACAAAGCCTCTCATGCTGTATGTGTAAAAAAGAAAAAAAAAATGGCAGTTGGAGTTCTAACACAGACAGTGAGACCTTGGCCTAGGCCTGTAGCTTATCTCTCCAAGCAGCTGAAGGGAG